CCCCCCCGAAGCCGTGCTGGCACTCCAGCCTAGGAAGAGGAAGGTGGGAGAGGGTCTGAGCTCGAGCCACAGACCACCCAGAAGGCAGCTGCGGATCACTAGTGGTCTGCGAACTGCGGTTTGAGAACCACTTTTGTAGGGGTTACTCTTATCTGTATAGCAGCTGCTAGCATGCACTACTGCCTAAATGGGGAGGAGGTAAATGAATTGAAAGCAGCAGAACACTTGTTACTGGCCAGCTTGGCGTAGCTAGCTGTGAAAATCTTTGTCTAGAAACTTTGGGCATGGGGGGGATGTGAAGGCAGTATTTGCCTTCTGGGACTAGCTGGCCAGACATTTCCCCTGAATGAGTTCAGCCTTACAAAACCACAGCAGGAAATGTCTTCAACTGATTTTGGCCCACAGCTGGAATGGTAAAATACGGTGATTTTTCTCATTTTGTGGGGTGTGGGAAGATTCACACCAATTTTATGTGCTCCATTGGGCGAAAAAATGTCATGCTCACCTGTCAATTGAACTCTGTATCTATTTGTATCATAACTCTTAAGTGTTTGGGGTTTGTAGTTTTAAATAACTCTCCAAAAGGGAACCAAATAAGTAGTGCATTATCTCCTCTTACCCCCAAATAAATCCCAGTTGTCAGTAACAAGGTTAATTGTCCTGCTTTTAGATGTGTAACTTTTAGTTATTCTGCAGAAACAGTGCATTGAGTAAACATACTTAAACTTTAATTTCTACCTTCCAGATACAGTTTATGTAGAGTCGCCAAAGCAGCAAGATGCATAACGACCAAATATTGGTAAAAAGAAGATTGAAAATTCAGTGTTCTCACAGTGCAGTCTTCAACAGGGCATCCACTTACTTTCTGTGTAATATAAAATTACTTTGAATCGCTGTGCTTTAGAAGATTCTTGTTTATAACTATGGTATGGAATCATGTTTGTGCATTGGTTTAGACTATGTAAGACTAGCTTCAGTAGAAAACCAAAATTTTTGAAGCTAAAAGTCAGTTTGGAAATGGAAAAATCTGACTTACGGACCTATCCCTTCTGAAAAGGGGCTTACTTATATAATTGCTTTGCAACTTTATTCATCAGCAGATGGCCTGTAGAAAGTTGGCTGAGGGTGTAATATTTCTATTTATTTTCTCCCTGAACTGTGTGGCTATTGTAGTCAAGGCACAAATCAAATGAGATTGAGCAATAAAACTTTCATGTGCTCTAATAAAGTACTCTGATAGAGTAATGCTTGTATTATCATATAAAGCCAATATTGTGTGAAATCAGACAGCTTTTTCATATTAGAATAGCTTCTTATAATTCACAAATTTTATACTGTGAGTTTTAAATGCTGTGAATCAACTAACTATATATAAAAACAATTGAGGAAAGACTGATCTGTTGGCATTATAACAGTGTGTTATGCCACCTGAGAGATTGGCATAGGCTTGAGATCTGTCTCCAAACAGAAGATATGATGTTACAGGATAGCATGTGCAACTTCCATACAGATAGTAATAGCTGCACTTCCTTATGGTATCTTTTTGTGCAGATAGCAGCATCATTCTTAGCTCTAGCAGGAGTTGCCTTCACGTCACAGGAAAACAGCACATCCAGCAGCAAATTGAGGGATTAGCAGGTCTTGTTGCTGGCCATTAGAGGAGAAATGTCCACATTTGAATAATTCTGCAGTTCAAAAAGATTTTTTTTCTTTCTTTTGACTGAGAATTATATTTATGGTGTTGTCCAATCTTTGACTAACGTTTCCCACTTAACAAATCCAGTCTTTACAAATTACAAAAAAAAATATTTTTAAATATGTAAATATATATGTAAACTTCTAAGTATGTTTCTTTAATGCTGCAGTATCTTTTTTATTTTGTAGAATTTTTCAAAATAGAAATACTGTACTGCTTAAGAAATGTACATACATTTCTTTTATAATAGAAATCTTGCAAACCATTATCTAACCTACGAAAAAATAACTGCAGTTTAGCTACACATATGCAAAAGTTATTTCAAAAATTTAGGTTTTCACTTTCATATTTATTAATTAAAATATTAAATAAAAATACCATAGAATGTTGGCTAAAAATTCAGCCTGATCTTTCATATCTTCAAATACCTGAAGAATAAACATGATAGTATGAAACAAGTTGGTAATTTGACATACATACAACTGAACATGTTTCCAGAACTTTAGTGGGAGAATAGAAGAAAAGGGAAGTGTTATTGTATCATTTAAATCTCACTATGGGATAATATTAAACTGGCTCATTATGAAAAGGAAACAAGCATCCTTGTCGTTTACGTCAGTATAGTGGTGACTGTCTTGTCTTGGGGCTGTTATGTTAGCAATAATATCATTAAGGTAGTATACAGATGCCAGTGTGTCATTTAATAATATTGCCAAATTGTTCTAGAGCAAACATTTGAAATTCAGCACTTAAATTCTATAATACCCTTTTCTCTAGGTATCTTTTTTTGTTTAATTTTGTGCCAAGAGTGTAAGGAAAATATACTTATTTCATAAAGGAAATATACCTTTTTGTCAAACAAAGTGAGAATTTTTAAGTCCTTTTGACATGTATTTGAAATTTGTAACCACTAATTTTCTGTGAAATTAAATGTTGCGAATGGAACGGATGTATTAAGCCGAAATTCTGGACATGTACTAGTAAAGATATAAACTGGACTACCATACAGTGATTAAATATTGAAATTTGAATGTAAAGGCTTTTGGCTTTAATCCCCTCTTCCTGGGTTGACCAAAAATGTTGTAAATTATTTTTAAGCCAGTGAATTCTCCAGTGCCCAGGGTGGCTCTCCACATACCGGGGAAACGTGCCCGGAACTTGGAATGAGTTTTATAATATATGAGGGATGAATTCCACAGAGTTCACTCAGCATTTAAAGATCTTGCTTCCAAGAAATTCTTCTGTCTTAACTCCAGTTTAGATCAGTACATAGACAAATGTGGGTTTTTTAAAGTAATTAGAGTAATGTCAGTGCTCATAGGTTGTGAATAGGTAATATCTGGCACTGTAAAGTAAATATCAATGCTTTTTTCCTGTAGCAGATTATTTTATAGTCCTATTGTTCAATTCCATTTTAAATTATATCCTTTCTTATGATTCATTTTAAATTATCCAAATGAATGGGCAGACGGCATACATTCAGTTGAACTTTATAAAAACAAGGAGTCTTGGGGCACCTTAAAGTCTAACAGTTTTATTTGGACTTAAGCTTTTGTGGGTAAAAGCCCACCCAACCCACAAAAGCTTATGCCAAAATAAATGTTAGTTTTTAAGATGCCCCAGGGTTCCTCGTTGTTTTTTCAGATACAGACTAACACAACTATCCAAGACTTTGAAGAGCTACGTTCTGATTAGCTAGTAGGAACTTGTTCTGTACTTTGTGCAGTCAGAAATAGGCTCAAATACTTTTAAAATTTGATTGGCTAGAGAAATTTTCAGTGACTTGGTTAGACAGTTTTCCTGTATTCAGTCTGTTTGGTATCAGTTTTATTTAGTGTTTAAAAATTGAAAACAGCGACAGTGTAAATCTTAAACTTTTTATAAACTACCTTCCCTTTAGTTTTATAGAGCATTTGTTGATGCATTAATGGGGTTCATAAAATCTTGATATGGTTTTATCTTTGAAGAAATGGCAGTTTTAACATATTTCTGACTTCATAGAAATGTACAGAACAGCTTTTAGCAACTCCCTTGTGCATGTATTTGAATATATAAAATGCTGGAGTATCATTTTTAGCCCACAATGTATGGTTTCACAAATTAAGAATAATGTAACTGCAAGGAAAGACACTGTCAAGATTCTTAAGGTTCAATATTTGACCTGGATGATCTGAGACTTTGTTGTATAGTAAATTATCCCCATTACTGGGGATGATAGGACTTGGGGATGTGGGAGGGGAGGGAAGAGTCTGCAACCACTGCAAATAGTAACTGGTAGAAGAGCAAGAAAACATTATCCTTTCACCCCTTACTAACCCTGTGTTTATACACCACGATAATTAAGTTTTTTGTTCTGAGTGCTCTTCAGCTCTTTCCTTTCTCTCAATCAGTGAAATCTAAGGAAGGCCGTGCACTTTCTCATGTGTTCCAGTGGCCTTACAGCTGAGATTTTAACACAACTGCAGTCCTTTTTGGTGAGGCAAGTTAATATCTCTTTCTGATGGGGCACTCTACCATCAAATCTATTGCAGGAGGTGGGATGGAACATGGTGGTATTGAGTGTGTTGGACTTGGAAAGTGGCCATTTTAAATAGCTGTCCCTTTTTAACGTCCTTGTGTGTTTTAATTTGCCTACAGGAAGTTCTCTACTTTAAATTTAGATTTCCAGCTAAAATTATGTAATAGAGAAATTTTAGTTCTGTGCACATAGTGGTGGAAAAAAGTAGGGTAAAAATTGTTAGCATACTTTTGTAAAATGTTTAATAATCTCTTGCTACAAGATTGATTACAGGACGTGTCCAGATTTGGATTTTTTTTGTGTGTGTGGCAGAAAGGGTGGGTTACAATTTTAGAGTAGCATGCACTGTGGATCGGTGCTTTATTTGTAAATAAAAGGGAAAACTTTTTTTTTCTTTTGGGTAGTTTGTATCGTATGGATAACATCTAAAGGCACTGTGTACCAGTCATTTATTTCCATTTTAAAGATTATATTTTTGAGCAATGGAAACTGTACATGTTATCATTTATACATTTATTGGTAGAAAAATAGAAAAGTTATGTTGCTATTACTCTGAAGATGTATTTGTCACATTGCTAAATACATTACTGCATAGCTTTTTTCCACAAGTATCTCATGTGCATTTATTTAAAGAGATTGTAATAACTGGTGAAGTTCTAAATGGAAAAAAATGTACATTAGGAATCCTCCTTCAGTATCTCAAACCTGTATCCTTGTATTTCCAGTCTAGTCCTTTGCCAGATATTTGGCTGGGATTTGCTCATATAAAGCACTCGCAAAAAAAAGGTGCTGAATAGATTTCATTTTAGATTTATTTATTTAATAGCTTTCATCATTTTATATGTTGCATTTCCCCCCTTGTGTAACAGGTTTGTGCCTTTTATTGGGTATTTATTTAAAAGAAGCTTACTATAATGTAGGAGGTTGTTTTTTACAGGCTTACTCTTGTATGGCTGTTTCTTTAAATGAGTTCCTTTCCATTTTATAAAAATGGATACAGAATATTTAAAAAACAATCCATTAGCCATAAAACTG